TAAAACAATTACAACACATTTTAGCCTATGTACATAGATTTATTAATAACTGTAAAAATTCTAAAACTAAAATTACAGGTTCCTTAACTACCGCCGAGCTCAATAAAACTCTTAATTCATTAGTGTATATTTCCCAATTAGAGGCATTCCCTAAAGAATACGACTTATTATTAAAAGGAAATTCCCTAAGTCCTAAGTTGCACATTTCGGCACTTAATCCATTTTTACATGAAGGAGTGATAAGAGTAGGTGGTCGAATTCAGGCTTCTGAATATAGTTTCGATATGAAGCATCCCATGTTGTTAAGCTCTAAACACCATTTTACTCAACTTTTATTCAAACAAGAACACGTACGGCTTCTACATCTGGGGCCCCAAGCCTTACTGGCTTCTATTAGAACGCGTTTTTGGCCCATTAGTGGAAGAAGTCTGGCTAGACGTACTGTGCATAATTGCACCGTATGTAGGCGTTTTAAGGGTCAGTCTATGAAAAACATAATGGGCAATCTACCTGCTCAAAGACTAATGCCCGACTTTCCCTTTATTACAGTAGGGACTGATTTCGCTGGGCCATTTATGGTCACGGATCGCAAAGGTCGTGGTTGTAAAATTACAAAATGTTATTTGTGTATTTTCATATGTTTTAGGTATAAGTGCATCCATTTGGAGGCTGTTAGTGAGCTGTCCAGGGATGCTTTTATATTAACTTTGAGACGCTTTGTTTCACGGAGAGGGCTACCAAAGCAGATATTCTGCGACAATGGTGGAAACTTTGTAGCTGCTTCAAAGGAACTTAAAGAGTTTTTTGAAGTTAATGCCAAAACTATCGCTAATTTTGCCGCTAACGAAGGCGTTGAATTTTGTTTTTCGCCTGCATACGCTCCTCACTTCAATGGTTTGATGGAGGCCGGTGTAAAGTCAGCCAAATTCCACCTGGCTAGGATATTAGGGACTACGCACCTAACCTATGAGGAATTGTCATCTTTGTTCACACAAATAGAATGTATCCTAAATAGCCGCCCCCTATGTCCATTAAGTTCCTCTCCCACGGACTATTATCCCTTAACTCCGGGCCACTTTTTAATTGGTAGACCACTAAGCTCGCTGCCATCTCCGTGTCTACAATCCGCTAATGCCAATCGTCTCGACAGATTCCAGCGCATCGAGCAGTTTAAGCAACACTTTTGGCGACGCTGGAGCCACGAGTACATTGCGGAGCTGCAGTTGAGGACGAAGTGGCGCACGAAGTCCAAAGAGAGCCTACAAATTGACGACCTAGTCCTCTTGAAAGAGGAAAACGCTCCACCGCTCTATTGGCGTCTCGGACGAGTAAGAAAACTCTTCCCGGGATCTGACGGATTGACACGCGTCGCAGATATAGACACTGCAAGAGGAATTGTGCGGCGCGCCCTAAACAGAATCGTCCTACTACTGAAGCCCGATGAGTTGGAAGATCTTGAAAGCTGTTAAGCTTTCCAGCGCCGGGTGGTGAGAAACCCCCCGCACTTCACATACTCCCCGCAAACACCGTCGGCGCTGTCGTAACGGCGCCGACATAGGCTACCTATTAGCTAACCTTAAACATTGATTTTTGCTAAGCAATTCAGAAGAAAAGATGTATACGCCTGAGCTGGCGTAATAGTTCATCATCATTATCATCATCATTACAGCCCTTCACAAGTCCACTGCTGAACATAGGCCTCCCCCAAAGAATGCCACAAAGCACGGTCCTGAGCCACCTGCATCCATCGACTTCCTGCATGTCTGACCAGGTCGTCACTCCATCTCATGAGGGGACGCCCTATACTTCGCCTACCGGTACGAGGCTGCCACTCGAGAACCTTTCTTCCCCATCGGTTATCGGTTCTTCGAGCTATATGGCCGGCCCACTGCCACTTCAGCTTACTAATCCGTTGGGCTATGTCGGTTACTCTGGTTCTACTGCGGATATACTCATTCCTAAGTTTAACACGCAGAGAAACTCCGAGCATAGCCCTCTCCATAGCTTCCTCATACGGCCAGCAGTGAAGGACCACGTCTCAGTTCCGTAAGTCATCACTGGCAACACGCACTGGTTGTACAATTTCGTTTTCAGGTTTTGAGGTATGTCTGACGAGAAGATGTGCCGTAGCTTCCCGAACGCTGCCCAGCCGAGTTGAATCCGTCGATTGACCTCTCGGTCGAAGTTGGACTTACCTAATCGGACTATTTGTCCCAGGTAAACATACTCGTCAACAACTTTGAGCTTAGTGCTCCCAACAACTACCGGCATAGGTGTGACATGGACATTGAACATGATCTTTGTTTTGTCCATGTTCATCTTAAGACCTATCCGTTGGGAAACACTATCGAGGTCATTGAGCATAGTGCTTAGGTCCTTCAGCGATTCTGCCATAAGGACTATATCGTCGGCAAATCGAAGGTGAGTGATGTACTCGCCATTGATGTTGATACCGTATCCTTTCCAGTCCAGAAGCTTGAAAACGTCTTCCAATGCAGCGGTGAAGAGTTTCGGGGATATGACGTCACCCTGTCTTACACCTCTCTGCAATTGGATAGGTTGCGTACTCTGATTCTGTACTCGGATAGCCATCGTAGCCCTACTGTACAAGCACTTCAACACTTCGATATACCGACAGTCAACTTGGCACCGCTGAAGGGACTGCAGCACCGCCCAAATTTCGACGGAATCAAAGGCTTTCTCATAGTTCACATACGCCAGACATAGTGGCAAATTGTACTCTTCGGACTTCTGTACAATTTGCCGAAGGGTATGTATGTGGTCTATGGTGCTAAAGCCCTTTCGGAAACCGGCTTGTTCGGGAGGCTGGAAGTCGTCAAGTCTGCGCGCGAGACGATTCGTAATGACTCTCGAAAATAGCACGTAGACGCGGCTCAGAAGGGAAATCGGTGTGTAGTTCTTCAAGAGAGCGTTGTCACCTTTCTTGCAGAACAAGACCACCGCACTTCTGCTCCACGCCTCCGGTGTAATGCCACCCCATGGAGGACGGAATTAAAGAGCTTCTGAAGGACTTCAGTACCGGTCTTCCACCCGCTTTCAGAAGCTCCGCTGTAATTCCATCCTCGCCTGGGGCCTTACCGTTTTTAAGGTGCTGGAGAGCCATTCTAATCTCGCTCAGACTGACGTCCGGGATATCTTCGGAATAGTGTCGGATGAGACTCGCTCTTGGATCGTTACTCACATTTGCGTGTGGCTCCAACGATGACGTGTACAGCTGCCCATAGAACCTCTCAATCTCACTCAAAATCTCAGGTGTCCCGGAAACGATGCTGCCACATTCTGTCTTCAGCTTTGACAGTTGGCTCTTTCTGGCAGACAGATCTCTGGCAAAGACTTTGGAGCCTTGGTTCCGCTCGATCGCTTCTTCAATACGAGCTGTATTGAAGTTGCGTAAGTCCCGCCGCATGCATTTGGAGATCTGTCTGTTCAGATGCCTGTATGCTGTCAAGTCTGTTGAAGAATGTAGCTTCATCTCCCGTCTAACAGCCATGAGATTAAGAGTGTGATCGGAGAGTTTTTGTGTTCTTCTGCGGCGGGTCTTGCAGAACTTAGCTCCGACCGCATGGACAGTTTCCACGAGCTTGTCATTCATATCGTCCACTTCATTGCAGTCTTCTAGGCACTGAAAACGGTTTTGTAACTCGAGCTGAAAGGTTTCGGGACTTTGGAACAGAGCACGAGGGGGACGGAGCGTTGACTTCATTAGACGAGACTTCTCCAACTTAACGTTTGGGTTCAGTGTGCCTCTAAACATTCGGTGATCGCTACCAGTTTTCACCCTCGCGATCACGGAGACATCACTGAACAGTTGCCGTCTGGTCGTCATAATGAAGTCAATCTCATTTTTTGTCGAACCGTCGGGGCTCGACCAGATCCACTTCCTGTGGGGCCGCTTCTGGAAGTAAGAGTTCATCATAAAGAGTCCCTCTTTCTCCATGAAGTCGGCCAGCTGCTGGCCCCTTGGGTTCCGATGCCCTATTCCAAATTTCCCTACTTTCAGCTCACGGTTCTCTCTTGTGCCTAGTTTTGCATTGAAGTCTCCCATCAACACCGTATATTGGGTTTTGGAGGAATGCATGGCTCTGGAGATATCCTCATACATTTCCTCCACCTCCCCATCGGGGTGTGCCGAGGTTGGTGCGTAAACCTGTATGACCTTCAGCGAATACCGTTTGGTGATTCTGAGTATAAGGTACGCAACCCTCGTCGATACACTCCCGATCTTTACAACGTTGTTGACGAGACACTTGTGGACGATAAATCCGACACCTCCTTGGGACAGATGGTCGCCCTCCCGGTGATAGAGCAAGTTGCCGGATTCGAGGATTACCGTGTCCTCTCCCTCTCTTCGGACTTCGGATAATCCTATAATATGCCAGCGCAACTTGTCTATCTCTTCTTCCAGCTCCACGATCTTCTCGTCAGTCCTCAAGGTGCGTGCGTTGTACGTTGCCAGGTCGAGTCGTCTAAGATGGCAACCGAACCTCCACCGGAGATTCTTAGCACCCCCTGCCCCGCCGTTACCATGGTCGCCACCGTAGCCAGGAATAGCGGGGCCGCCGGGGACTGGGGGCCGTCTCTTTGTTACATTCATAGGGGGGTATTTGCCATAGTTGTCACGCTTGGCGAGCGGGTTGGCAACCGCAGTTTTTTTATTGTAATTATGGCTATTATCAGGAAGATGCTGCTGCCCATCTCCTGCCTGTTTCCCTTTGTCGCCTTTTACGACACCCACGGGAGGATATGGGGTAGTGGATATTCTTGACCGCCACTACACGTAATAGTTAGTGATACGTAAATACAATATTCAGCAAAATATAGATCTTTACTCCATATAAAGAGGTCCGCGATAGGATAAATGTGTAGTGTGAGGGAGTGTGGATAAAATGTATGTCGTATACATATACCGACATACGTACTTAACTAATTTTTACAATTTTTACACTACAGGAAATTACATACATAACATAGAAGAACACATACATACCGGTCTACAGTGATAGCAACGAGCGTGAAAACTCCAGCTGATACAGTAAGATTAGCCGTGAAATTACTAGCTCTGCAAGTAATCAAGCCGAAGGGCCAATTAGCTGTTACCAAAAATACAATGTTTGGGGCTCCATTCAAAGTTGCCATAAGAAGATCCGCAACAGCCAAATTTACCAAGAAACAGTTGGTTACAGTTCTCATACGACGATGTGCTGATGACAATATTTATTAATACATAATTATATAAATTTTAAAGAAAAAGTTTTATATTAATGTAAGATTTATTTTTATGGACAGTATGACAAAGTCCATTGCTATACATAAAACCATGTGGTTAGTTGTAAGGGATTTTAGAAGCATATAGGCAGAATATAATATAATAGTTGAGCATGGTTTTCACTTCATTTTGGCGTCACTTAAAAAGTACGCAACAGTCCGTCTATCTTTCTTTGTTAGTCTGCGATCCAGTGGGTGTCGTAAGAGTCGACGGCAGCAAAGAAATTCTTATTAATACCAGGTCAGACGTAAAAGGCAGTCTCAAGACGTGCTAGACGTTTGGAACTGCCATCGTTAATACTTTGCCCAGTGTCACAGAATCAATTAAGGTAAATCTTCCGGAATTCAGTAGTGTTTCACGGGCGGAAGAAGATGAATTTTAAATTTACTTCTTTTGATATAGATTTATAAATGAACATTTATGTTTATAAATTTATATGAAAAACGAATACACAAAAAAGACGAAATTCAGTTTAATTATTAATTATGTGTAACCTTTTGACTTACCTAATACAATCCAAATAACTAAGGTATTTCCTAATATCGCGAAAAGTAGCATAATAGCAAATACTATAAACCATACAAGTTGTACCCACCATGGTGGACTGTATGGTCTTTGTCCGAGACCCATACAGTTTCCAAGAGTAACTCTGTCAAAGGAATAAAAATATTAAAGTGTCGAGTTATAAACTCCTAAAACAATGAAAAAAGTTAAGGAAAAATATAAACACAGATGTTAACATATAGTTTATAGATATCATATTTTATATGTTGTATTAATTTGGATCTTTACTATTATTATTATTATTATGGAATATTCAAAATATTGTACATAATGATTTTTGTTATATAAGAGGCGACAGAGGATAATAAACCAGAAGATGCCTGTCTTCTGGTTTGTTTTCCTCTGTATAGTAGCGTATTCCCAATAACTACTAAAATAAAACTCAGTGGTTGTCACTCGCTTGCCAATAGTGGCAACTATGCCCTTCACCCCTTCCAGTAAGGCAATTCATGGGAAAGACCTATGTTTAGCAGTGGTCTTTAATAGGCTCTAACGATAACGGTTAACATTAGGCTAAAAATAATGATCAGTTGCTGGAAGTATAAATAACTTCATAATAGGTAATTATAGTTAGTTGTCTTGTTTTATTGCTAAATGTTGCTTCTTAAAAATCTAAAAATTATGTAGTTACTACTACTTACTTTAAATGAATATCTTCCTGAATTTGTTTAGGTATAAGATCCAGCAGCTCAGTTATGTTTAAGTTATCCCAAGAAGTATCGCGACCCAATATATGCTGAGTGCAGTTATAAAAAGTTTCAAAATCTGTTTCCAAGTCCATTGTCATAAATTTATATCACACTACTAATTTTCTTTATTAAATAATTATTATATTTCCTGTAAAAAGTTCAAAATTTAATATTTATATCAGTTACTAATGATTGTATTACTTCCTTACAAAATTAAATGGTGGTGGGCAGCAGAATTTCCTACCTAACAAACTCAAAACAATAAAAATCTACGGATGTGTACTCGGCCGCCAAGCGTGGTAATATGAGGCAATCTATAAAAGATATTAATCAAAATGGGGTACTGTGGAGCTCTTAAAATATATGCTAGGTATATAATATATAAATAAAATTTAAAATTTCTTAACACAATTTATGTTGTACATATTATTTTGCACGTGGTAAAGCCACGACGCAGCTATATTAGTTGTACCAAGAATGGGTCGGCTCGACTGGGTTAGGACCACGCTCTCACAGAATACCAGCGTAAAATAGCAGATTTAAGCTGATTTAAGATGTTTCGTATGGTGAGTGTAGAAAACTGAAAACCCTTTTTACTCGGAACGAGGCATCAACCAACGAGGAATCCTGAGGGGTAACAACGGATTTGCATTTTTATATTTAATCGAGGATAAATGTGGATGTCCATAGGCCACAACATCTACTTACTATCAAGTGAACTGTGTACTCGTTTCTCACCCCCCTAATTGTTTAAAAATGTTCTTAAAATAATGCCATCTATTATAAAATGCAAGAAGTAATTTCTATTTTCTTCAGATAGTAATAAATAAATAAATATTGATAATAATAATTATTTTTATGTATAAATCACTATTAATTTTTTGTTAATTGTATGAAATTTTGACGGAATTGATTATACGTGGGAGAGCCATACATACGTGGTAGAACCATGCTGCAGCTATATTAGTAGTATAGTTGTGGCATGAATGGGTCGGCTCGACCGGGGAGGACCACGCTCTCACAGAATACCAGCGTCAAATAGCAGCTTAACGCTGCTGTGTTTCGTATGGTGAGTGTAGAGAACCGGAGACCCTTTTTACTGGAAAAGAGGCATACCATCTTAATCCTCACGGGTGACAACGCATTTGCATTTTGATTCACAAACGAGGATAGATGTAGATGTCTATGGGCAACAGCAACCACTTACCGTTAGGTGGACTGTGTGCTCGTTTGTCACCCTATCTTATAAAAAAAATATTGGTATTAAACCTTTACAACTGGTTTGTTGTTCAACTCTGCAGACACTATAGACTTAAAATTTGAAACATTTAATTACATCTTCATTAACCTTAGTTAACCATGGCTTGCAGACGATATTAAATTTTTAACAGTGATAGTTTTTTTTTTTTATAGGATAGGGTGACAAACGAGCACACAGTCCACCTGATGGTAAATGGTTACTGTGACCCATAGACATCTACATCTATCCTCAATAAAGACTCAAGATGCAGATGCGTTGTCACCCGTGAGGACTAAGATGGAATGCCTCTTTGCCAGTAAAAAGGGTCTGCGGTTCTCTACACTCACCATACGAAACACAGCAGCGTTAAGCTGCTATTTTACGCTGGTTTTCTGTGAGAGCGTGATCCTTCCCCGGTCGAGCCGACCCATTCGTGCTACAACTATATTACTAATATAGCTGCAGCATGGCTCTACCAAGTAAAAAGAGATCGATCGTCGAACCACAATAGAGACAAGTACCCTAGGAGTATACGTAATCGCTGCAATACAATTTGTAGAGATGCACAACAATGCCACGTTCAAAAATTAGTCCAGAACGGAGACCCTGCAAAATTTTTTCCGATTATCAGATCTATAGGAGTTGGAAAATGTAAAGAATTTTCCATTTCATATAAAGACGTTGACATTGAATCTCAACATTTTTCACATACCTCTTCTTTTTTTTGATAAAAATCTTCACTATCATCATCATTAAAACCCTTCAAAAGTCCACGAATGCCACAAATCACGGCCCTGAGCCACCTGCATCGACCGACTTCCTGCATATCTTACTAATTCGTCACTCCGTGTAGTGGAGGGATGCCCTACACTTCGCCTGCCGGTACGTGGTTACCACTCGACAACCTTTTTTCCCCATAGGTTGTCCGTTCTTCAATCTATATGGCCAGCCCATTGCCACTTCAATTTACTAAATGTCGGTTACTCTGGATCTACTGTGGGTATCTTCGTTTTTAAGTCTATCATGCAGAGAAACCCAGAGAATAACCCTCTCCATAGTTCGCTGAGCGACCTTGAGCTTCCTCATACAGCCAAACGGCCAGCAGTGAAGGACCACGTCTCAGATCCGTAGGTCATCGCTGGAAATGCGAACTTAGATCCTACTGCATGGACAGTTACCACGACCTTATCATTCATATTGTTCACTGTATTGCAGTCTTCTAGACAATGAAAACTATTTTTTAACTTGAACTGAAAGTATTCGGGGTTTCGGATCAGAGCATGGGACGAATCATTGATTTCATTAGACGTGACCTCTCCAACTTAACATTTAGGTTCAGTTTGCATATCGCCTTTAGTTGATAGCTGCCAGTTTTTTACCCTTGCAATCACTAAGAAATCACTGATCTGTATGCAACAGAGTATTTAAAGTATGTGAGGAAAATCACATACTTTAAATACTCTGTTTAAAACATCAACTCCAAATTTATCACCATTTCCCTTCAATCAATTACCGTCTGAGATGGTAAGAAGATAGTTTTGTCCATATCATCAAATGCCATCGGTTGTGATGAAACTAGCAATTAAATGATCATCCTCCTGATTGATACTATTCTCCTCATCTAAACTCATATTTTTAATTACTCCATATCCTGTGAATTCTTTCCTCGGCTTCGGAAGAAAGCAAATATTATTCAACTTCCTAAATAAAACTCCCTTCTCGACTCCTTTCAATCGATGTTCAGACTTGGTCATAGTACGGTTATAGCTTTACTTAAAATCACAGCTGATATTCGCTGGGGTATGAACTAAAACCAGCTCACTATTCTGACTATTCTTTCGTTGCTGGATTTCAGTAACGTTTTTAATACCGTCGATATTGACGTACTGGTGAGTCTGCTAAGTTCTATTAACATATCTCCAGCGGCAATTGAATGGTTTCAAATATATTTGCGAGGCCGAAGGCAACATGTTATGGTAGAGGTTCCCATATCTACGGGGTGTGAACTAACTGCTGGTGTATCACAAGGTGACGTGTTGTCTCCTCTCCTTTTTGTCTTTATTATTTCTATTACATCATGCATTTCTTCTCTTTACCATTTGTATGCAGATGATCTCTAAATTTACTCCAATACATCACACTCCAGAATTTCACCAATGCCAAAGATTTGAGCGAGTCGTTTGGACTTAATTTAAATCTCAATAAGACCCAAGCCATTTTTATTCGGAACAGCTGTCATTTCCAAAGGTATACTTTCACCTATTGTATAATACGAGTATATTGATTTTATATTGATCAGAATTTTTCTTGGTGCATATTAAGGGGATTGGAGCAGCAATTTCTTTATTACGTTTGCGTAATTTGCTACCCATTCCGATTTTAATTTCATTGACATAGTCCTTGTTACTAACTGTCCTTGATTATGCTGATGCATACTACTCTATTCCTACTGAGGATCAATTAACTAAACTTGAGCGTCTTCAGAATTTCGCTATTATGGTCATATTTGGTTTCCTAATTTTGTACTAAGTCGGAATACTCACATTTTATCTCTACTGTACTGTGTACAATATGATCCTAAAACAAAAATTGAGTTCGTAGGCGGAGCTAAAGATCATTTCAGATTAGCATACCATATTTTACGAATGCCTACTCACAATTCAACATTTTTAATTCCTCCTTTTAAGTCAAAGCGATCACATTATGTAACTCGCTTCCTTTAAAGATTAAGAAAACGCATGGCATTGAGTCTTTCAAAAGAATAATCAAAAATTATTGTTTAAATATGTACTTACTTTTCTTGATACAGTTTGTGTATATGATATATAAATATAATATACATATATATTATAATAACTTAACTCTTAACTCATATATACTCTCATACACTGTATATTGCTTATATGTATTGATATAATTATACTCGTTTATAATAGATATTTCGTAGATAAATATATTATTTATGCACAATTCTATACCATCTAATTTACATATTTATAAATTAAAGTTCGGTATGTGTTTTTGTAATATGTGTAAATAAATCACTTTGAACATTTGACGTTAATTACTTAGTTTTTTCGTTTTTTCATTTTATGTTATAATTTAAATAATATTTTTATCATAGCGACATAGCGACATTAATTACTTATCTTCTCATCGGTAATAATGAAATTGTTAATTGCAGTTCTAAGTGATGATTTACCATGTGTTCGGCGGTGACGGAAATATCGTGAGAAAACCTATGACGCCAGAGAAATTAAAAAAATATTCGAAAACATGTGAATTCCGCCAACAAGCACTGGGGCAGTACGATGGACATTCCCTTGCCCTAAATCCTGTCAAAAAAGAGAGGAGGCCTGTACTCAGGACTAGAATTTATATAAGCTCTAACCTTTTTTACTTAACTTATACGTAAAAACTTTAATTACTATAAAAAAAATCACGAATTGTATTAAGGATAACTTCCTTCTTTATATTTTACCGTGCAAAAGCATTCTTTCAGTTTTCAACCTATAGTTTATTAAGATTTCTTTATAGCTATAGAAAGACTAAAAAAATCGTTTCAGCAAAATTAGCAGTACACAACTAGTGTTTCTCGTCGAATAAACTTGTTACTGTACGTTTAACTTTTATTACTTTTGTTTTAACATTAAATGAAAGCTCATGGGGATAAACGTTCACAAATAGATTAGATCACCGTCAGCTACAATTTTTAGTGTATCTTTATCACGAGTCCAATGGTAATGGTAAACATAGCGAGGAAACTTGTTTGTGAAGTCCGCTAATACGCATTTAAACAAAGTGGCTCTTTTCTACCACAATACACTCAGAGTAATGAAACTGGCCTATGTG